TGTGATTATTAATCTTAATGAATTTCAAAGCTTATTGATCCGTAAATAACTCCGCCAAAGTTACTAACTGTTAATACTCGGTTTTTACTGAAATATTCTACAAGTTCCATCATTTTCAATACTTCGTTTTATTATACTTTTAATAATTTAATATTTTTAATATTTTATGTTATGATAATTCGCTTTACAATACGATCCATTCAAAATCATGATTATATTCAGGATAGAATTTTTGATAGAATATAAAAATTTCGAAAAATTAAAAAATAAATAAAATCCGTTGGTAGATTTTATCAAATTTCAAGAAATCTAAACGCAGGGTAACATACGGTGCAATAAAGCCCCGAATGTGGCTTTAATTTGCGTTTAATTCGATCTCAGTGCCTCTTCTGGTCAATCCGTGAAGCCAGAATCGCTCGAATCGCTCCGTCCTTGAAGCGGGAATTTCAAACGCCCGAGTTCTTTTCCACGCTGTCTAAAAGCGCAATCTAATGAGACCGCCCCGGTGATCCAATATGCCACGTCGCATACTGACACGTGTAGCATCCTGTGCTGAACGCCTTTCATAAAAGGGCCTCTCTCTCTCCCGCGCGCGAGAACTATTCACCGGGCCTTTAGAAATTATAACGCGATAAAGCCGTCCCTCTGGTAACGCAATTCTGGTTTATAGGTTGCGCGGTGACCTCGCAACAGATGCGGCGTTTGATATATTCAGCACGTGGCAGCTCGGGTGATGACGTCTAAATTATATGCGTTCCTCCGCACTCGAGAGCAACACACCAACCCGCATTGCCATTACTCGACATTATACATAGATATAATCTAATGTACTATATCGAATCTTCTCGGATAGTAATATCGTATTACGCACCTTTTTATCATACACAGCTCTTTAACGAGATAACGAAAACGGAAATGACAGAAGGAATATCATGTACAATTGCACAGTCAGATAATTTCCAAGGTTAATTTCTCTGGAATCGCGTGTCACTGACGTGTGTCACTTGCAAAACGGAGAATACAATTGGACGATAACGCAATGAGCTGTTTCGGTCACCCAAAAAGAAGGATAAAACTTACATGCCTTGCTTTGATAATTAGAATTTTCCTTTAAATATTTATCGAGGAACGGGAAATATTTGAATTAGCGTCGTTATCATCAAAATTATTGAAATAAAAGCTCAATTATACTAATTATTAAATATGAAAAAAGAAAAAATAATTTATCGCTGTGCGTTGATTTTCGGAGATGATCAAAAATATATAAATAAATGTGTAAATATATAAATCGGTATATATATAAACTAAATTAATATGTAATTAACAGCAAATAAATCGCAAAGCATATCACGAGAATTCACTTTGAATCTCGGACAGCTAAAGTTCATATCAGACTACACGTTGAAGATTAAAGATAACGAATTGGAGATTAGAATTTAACCAATCAGAACGAGAAATGAATTAAAATTAAAGTTATCTGATTAGTCGAACTCTAATTCTTCAATTTGCAATTCTCAATTTCTAATTTGTAACCTGATACGAGCTTAAGAACGCATTCGCTCGATGATAATCGATTCTAATTAGTATGAATGCACTCGGCACCACAGGTCGCTCACGATGTCCCTCACGTTTCGGTTAGACTGAATATGACGCAGATCTTTCGTCATTGCAGAAACATGCTAAGCGCGCGATAAACACAGCCGATGTGTAGCAAATACTGAAACGAAATGCAAACGCGGTTGGGCATGTTAATAAGCTCGAATGCGCGGCAATCGTAACTTTTCCCGCTGCGTTTGTTACAATCGCATATTTCCACGGCACATCAGCGCAGGTTGAAACCGTATTGTACCGTTCTAGTTCTGCGTAAAACTCGCTCTGTACACAGTTCACAACTCACGATGTACCGTTGATATTTAATTAAATGCGCACGCGATCGCAACTAATCTTTCTTATCGCGATCTTTATATTTTTGATAAAACGGTTCTTAAATTCTGCGTAAATGCGAATCAGTCCCGATTTAAATTTTATAATTTCTCAAAAAATTAAAAAAAGAAGAAACTCTTCTTTTTTTAAATTAAAAATTATTATTGTATATTATAATCAAGAAATTTTTTAATTAAAAATAGTTTTTGATCATAACATACAATAATAATAATTAATTTCACGTTGAATAATTCCGAATGTTATCGCGATGTTAATTTCATAACGCTTCACATAATTAACGGATTTCGGTAATGTGTCGTAGCTTTGCGAATTCGAAATACATATCCGCGACATCAAATGTGAATCCAGTCGATTCTTGATAAAATAAAATGTTCCTTTCGACGCGCACTAATTTCGGCGTACTAATTCCAATTATAAATTTCGTTAACTCAAAATTCCAGGAGGGTTGTTTACACCTGTTCCCCAAATGGAGTTCAACCTGGCACTGTTCCAAATGAAAAAGCCGTTCCAGCTGCGCTTTCCCAGCGGATTTCCCGCTCCTCTTACAACGTAAAAAGTACATATAGTTCAAATGTTCCATTCGATACAGTAACATCCCAACATATCAGCTAGCTCAATAAATCTTCGTTAATTCAGACTGAATAAAGGAGTTCGATTTAGAAATCGATAAAAGATAATTGCACAAAAAAGATAATTATCGCACGAATATCCGTGTTATCAGATTCGTATTGACGATTTCATATTTTAACAGCTCACGTTGATTCGAAATTCCAATAAGAAGCATTCACATCTGTTTCCCAAACGGTGTGCATGACTTGGCATTGTTCCAAGGCTGCTGAGAAATCGCGAGATCTGTTCTGTTTCCCTCGCGATATCTTTCTCCTTTCCTTAATCTCGCAAAGTAAAAGGTACACGCAGCTGAAAAGAATAGATCCGCGCGACTCGTAAAACATTCGACGACCGCGAACATCTTGGCTTTCACCCAGTAAAAACAGAGCGTTCATTCGTGTCGCAAATCGCGTAGTCGTCGAACATTGATCGCGGATGGTAGCGTGACGAAACAGCGAGAAATCGCGGAATGTGACGTGCAAACATCAAGTCGATAAGAGGAACGGTCGCGAGAAAGAACTTCAAAGGTCGTCGCGCGACAAGGAGTCGCGAAGACGAGCGAAATTGGCACACGTTCCAAATCCTCGAATCATGCGTGGATGAAGGGGGGGGGGGGGAGTCTCGCAACGGTGCCTCGATCGCAACGGGGATAACGACACAAATGGATTTTTAATTTATGCTGATACGTCTTTGACCGTCGATACTTTCTCGTCGTTTAAGTTCTTTAAGACACGGTTTTTGAGGCATGATTTCTCGAATTGTGAACCGCGCGGTCAGAGGTTCTTCGAGGAAAAAAAGTACAGTTATTCCAAGAAAAAAAAAATAGTAATGTATAATCTTGAACCTAACGGCTGGCAATTTTGATTAAACGGGAAGGAAAAAATATATCAACAGATAAACAACTCCTTTTTTTTTTTTAGAAGATTTTTTGGAACTGTGTGCTCCGAATCTTTGAGACGGCGTGGGCGTTTTGCACGACGTTTCGGGGTGCGTTTTCTACGATGCGCATACCGCGCGCCGGATTTATTCGTGCAGAGGCTCCGGGAACGGGAGCTTACGCAATCTTTCCGCGGTCCCGCACTCCCGAATAAAAGTCTCGCTGGATCACGGCCGTAACGTATTTTTAGAATGTTGACGAGTCGGATCGTGGGGTGTGTGAGCTTGAGCAGACGTGCCAGACGCGTATGCAAAAGGGCGGTGCCCGGTCCCCCCCGAAAAAGAAATGACGGAAGCGTCATCGCGCGAGAAACATCTCGGAGATCAGGGGGTTTTCATTGTCCGATGACGACGATAACGAGCAAGCAGCGTCTCGATCATCGTCTCGAGAAAGAGAGAGAGAGAGAGAGAGCGAGAGTCCGAGATTCAATTGACTGTTACTGATGAGAATAAAGATAGTTAAGGACACGGATAAATTCAATTCTCGCAATGAAGAAGAAAGTTTCGCCAATGAAACTCTAACGTTATTGAACGCTGCAACAGGATTTCCAAATCCAAAGGCTGAATCCGAATAAAAGAATTGTGCAAGTATCGTGCGATGTAAAATAAAGATGGTGTTTTATCTCGTCTTTATTCGATTATCTTATACTCGAAACTGGTTTTCGTTACAGTGGGGAGAGTGTCCCGATCCCGGATGTCATCGAGGCATCACATAATATACTTCGATACCTTATGATTCGATGTACCGTAATGCAGTATATATCTCGTTCTCGTTATACGCGGTTGGCG